GGCAACTCGTGGGAGGTCTCCGCAGGAACGACTACGAGCTATGAGGCCCGACGGAGGGGGCTCGAGTGAGCCCAGGATCCAGCGGGGTTAGTTAGTTCGGGATTCAACGGGGCTCAGCGGGATTGGGCCTGATTTCGACCAGGTTGAGTCTCTTTCTAGCCCCACGTCTTCGGCGCACCCGCGAGCACGTTCGGAGACCGAGAGGTTGGCACCAACACAAACATCGGCAGTGCGCATCCGCCGAGGGAAGATGATCTTGTCCTCGATGATGGTGGTAATGTTGCGGCTTCCTTCAGGTGGCCGAAAGATTACCACCAGCGCTTACATGCAGGATCATCTCCACCCATTGGAGGCAGCCCCCAGTGTTGGTGTTGGCGCCCCTGTTCAAGCCACATCCAAGAACAAGAGCCGATACTGCTACTTTAGGACCTCTTCTGGGGCGCGTTCTGTCCAGAATCTCGAGGCGAGCCCCAGGCGTGGCGACGAGGGCGTCCCAGGAGGCCCAAAACGGCGAGAACGAGGCAAGGGAAGCGTTATCGCTACTTCCCCCTCCTCTGATCTCCAGGAGAAGCCCCCCTTTCTCGTTGGGTCATTGGCGGACTCCCTGATCGGGTCATTCGCGCCTAAGAAAAACAACGGAACAAAAAAACTCTACAGACCTCTGCAGCCCTTCCCCAGGCGGACTCTGCCAGGCAGGATCCTCACCCTCGCTGCCTCCTCCTCCTCCTCCTCCTCCTCCTCCTCCTCCTCCTCCTCCTCCTCCTCCTCCTCCTCCTCCTCCTCCTCCTCGCTTGCCGCCCCAGCGGCAAGACCGACACGCCGGATGTCGCGCCGATGCCGCTGGGTTGGAGGAGGAGGAGGAGGAGGAGGAGGAGGAGAAGGAGGAGGAGGCCGACATCTGGCGTCGTGTTGGTCTTAATGCTCTTTTGGGCGTCGCCTAATGGACGGGCGACGGAGGGGGGTGGGGGTCAGCGAGGGCTGCCGAAGAGGGGCCCTCTGAGGCCCACGAAGGGGCCCCTTTAGGGCCCAGAAGGGGGCCTCCCCCCCCCATTCATGGCCCCCCCCATGAAGCGACGCCCAAGTCGGGCAAACGTAAGACTCGAGTACGCCAGGTCTCGGATTTGCCGACATTTTTATTGAGGCGCCCTCTCGGGATTTTGACGGCCCAGTTCTCGCAGCATGCTTGCAGCGAGAGCTCGCGTCAAATTTCAGGCTGGGTCTCGTCATGTTCGTAACGGCCTTGCTAGGCGAAGCCGAGTCCCCCGTGCCCGAGTCGTAAGTCTCCCCCACCAAGGCACGCACCGGGTCCCGGGAGGCGCCGAGGGACGGAGCGCCAGGCTCTCGGGGCTGTAGGCCCCCGTCCAGAGCGATGCCCGTGCTGCACGGGGGATGCCAGAGGGCCACGGGGGGGAGCTCCAGCTCGTGCCTCGAGGTAGGGTAAACACCATAGACATCAACTTGTGGCGCTCCGCGCGGATTTCTCGGATCCGCGCTAGGCGCCCCCCCCGCCAGGCGGGGCCTCCCGCGCTCCCACCTCCATCAGGCGATGCCCAATGCTCCCTCCTCCTCCTCCTCCTCCACCACCTCCTCCTCCTCCTCCTCCTCCTCCTCCTCCTCCTCCTCCTCCTCCTCCTCCTCCTCCTCCTCCTCCTCCTCCTCCTCCTCCTCCTCCTCCTCCTCCTCCTCCTCCTCCTCCTCCTCCTCCTCCTCCTCCTCCTCCTCCTCCTCCTCCTCCTCCTCCTCCTCCTCCTCCTCCTCCTCCTCTTCCTCCTCGTGCTCCTCCTCCTCCTCATCCTTCTCTCTCTCTTCCTCCTCCTCCTCCTCCTCCTCCTCCTCCTCCTCCTCCTCCTCCTGCTCCTCGTCCTCCTCGTCCTCCTCCTTCCCTCATTTCTCGTCCCCCCCCCCCCATCAAGCGATGCCCAGTGCTCGTGGTCCCGGCCTCCGGACCGCCGCCCCGCCGCGGCGGCCCGCAACCTCCCGGGGCGGCCTCTCCGCGAGCGCGCGCACGAGCGCCCCGCCGCGGCGTTTCTCCAGCCCGCTGGGGTCGAGCGCGACTCAGGAGCCAAAGGAGGACGTACACGTAAATCAGAAAAGGAAAAGGTACCCATACCTCTCCCCCTTGTGGGCGTTCTCGGAGGCACTCGTTACCACCGCTGGATTCGCCTCGAAATCCTGGCCAGAACGCACCCCCGGGAGAGGTCCGAGGAATAGCGGTATCGGTACCTTCTGGTTTCCCCACTATATGGTTCCACGTTGGTTTCGAGAGTACGCATTGCAGGAACGTTAGTATCACGCGCTGGTCTCGCGGACTGGGGGGGGCCGCATTCATGTACGGTACTGTACGTGGTTGGGCGCGTACGTCTTTTGTGAGCTCCCCAGCGCCAACGGCGGCCCTCCTGGAAAGGCAGCCCCTGCCCACGCGGTCCCCGCTGGCCTCGACGGTCCCTACGATCATCATCATCATCATCATCATCATCATCATCATCATCATCATCATCATCATCATCATCATCATCATCATCATCATCATCATCATCATCATCATCATCATCATCATCATCATCATCATCATCATCATCATCATCATCATCATCATCATCATCATCATCATCATCATCATCATCATCATCATCATCATCATCATCATCATCATCATCATCATCATCATCATCATCATCATCATCATCATCATCATCATCATCATCATCATCATCATCATCATCATCATCATCATCATCAGTCTCAGCCTCATTATCCTCATCATCATCATCATAATCATCATCATCATCTGCATCATCATAATCATCATCACCATCATCATCACCATAATCATCATCATCGTCATCATCATCATCATCATCATCATCAGCATCATCATCATTATCATCATCATTATCATCATCATCATCATCATCATCATCATCATCGGCATCATTATCATCATCATCATCATCATCATCATCATCATTATTAATATAATCATCATCTTATTATTCCTCATCATCATGAGCATCATCATCAACATCATCATCGGGATCATCATCCGAATCAGCAGACTCATCATCATCATCATCATCAACATCAGCATCAGCAGCATCGTCGTCAGCATCAGCATCATCATCAGCATCATCATCAGCATCATCAGCATCATCAGCATCATCAGCAGCAGCATCATCACCATCATCGTCATCGTCATCATCATACTCAGAATCATCATCATCAGCAGCATCACATCCAGCATAAGCAGCATCATCATAATCAGCAGCAGCATCAACAGCAGCATCATTATGATAATCAGCATCATCAGCATCATCATCAGCATCAGCATCAACATCACCACCACCACCAACATCATCAGCATCATCAGCATCAGCAGAATCATCATCATCATCAGCAGCAGCATCGCAATCATCATCAGCACCATCGACAACAACATCATAATCAGCATCATCAGCATGATCACCATCATCATCAGCAGCATCACCATCAGCATCATCATCATCATCATCATCATCATGTTTATCATCACCATCGTCATCATCATCGTCATCCTCATTACCACAGGCAGCAGCAGCAGCAACAGTATCAGCAACAGCTACATCAACAACAACAACAGCACCAACAATAGCACCACCAACAGCAACAGCATCAGTATCAGCATCACCATCAGCATCAACAACACCGTCGTAAACAAAACATCAGCATCAGCACCATCATCAACATCAGCATCTGCATCAACATCATCAACTATCATCATCGCTGGCAGAGCTTCACAGGTTGCGCACAGGCAGCCCCCCCAGGCAGCCCAGGCTGGCCTCAACGCCCCCCCCCGAGCATCGGAGGCCAGGCGCATGGAGGCCGCGGAGGGAGAAGGACAAGGACAGCCGGTGAAGGCGACTGCGAGAGAGAGAAAGAGAGGAATGAAGGGGCCCTGGGACACACAAATAAATACACACAAATAACAGGATTCCCCATATTTTCAAATATTTTCTGGGCTTTTGTCTTCCCCCCCACTCCCCATATTTTCCTATATTTTCTGGGAAATCGACGATTGATTGTGTCTGTGTGTTTTTCCCCCTCCTGAAGAGAGAGAGAGAGGAGAAGGAGGTGCAGGACCGCAGGAAGGCGAGATGTGGCAGGCGTGCGCCAGCTTCTCTGCTTAAAGAAGCTGTCTTCAGGGGGGGGGGGGCGGGGGGCGGGGCGGCGGGGGAGGCGGGGGGAGGAGGAGGAGGAGGAGGAGGATGAGGGAGAGAGACAGGGGGAGGGGGAGGGAGAAGGGGAGGGGGAGAGGAGGAGGAAGAGGAGGAAGAGGAAGAGGAAGAGGAAGAGGAAGAGGAGGAGGAGGAGGAGGAGTAGGAGGAGGAGGCCGGCGGGCGCGGGCCCAGGAATTACCCCAGGACTTCTCTCGATATCTAGAGAGCAGCTCCGAGATCTGACTCTGCAAACCCTCTCGGGTCTGCAGAGCCCTGCACATCCCGAAAGATCCGCAGGGCTCACACCGTCAGTCCACTAGTGAATCGATTGGTGTGACTGGGAGCCCTGCTGCAGTTGCACTAAATCTTGAGACCAAGTCCTCAAGGCGAACGCGTGCCAGCAAACATTGTAGAATGCGAAGACTTGTTTAGCTCGGATAGGAAATCGAGCTCAGGCCTCTGTAGGCTCTGATCCAATGCCTCCGATGCTTCTCAATCAATTTGTCTGACTGAGAAGCTCATAGCTTCTCTGCATCTCTCGAGATTATCCTGAAACCCACTATGTGAAAACATAGTCCGATATTTGTCCGGCCGTACCTCGGGTAGCAGACCAATATCAGGCATCTCGAGTGCCACTCCATGGCTTTGATGCCAATGAGCTCCGCAGCTAACTTCAATTTCGAGTCAGCGAGAAAACTGGATGTTCTGCCAAACCTCATGATCTGAAGATCGCTTCCCGGGAGTGAACCGACGATAATGTGGCAGCTGAAGCTCTGAAACGTTCCTGGAAGATTCCAAAAAAAATGTTCGGCAGAATAATCTGGAATGCCCAAATAAATTGTCGAATATTTCTGAGAACCACAACATGTTGTTGCGTTTGCGAGGCGTCCCAGCAGGGCGGTGTTCTACGCCCAACAACATGTTGTTGTGAACTTTGCGAGGCTGCGTCCAGGCCCTAGGGCCCACAGCGGAAGCAAGGCAGCGAGGCTGGAGCTTCAAAAGCCAGCGAAGCTGAGACTACAACAGTAGTGAACGCGCCGGAGGAAGAGAGGAGAGAGGCGAAAGGACGAGAAGACAAATGGGACGAGAGGACAACAAAGCAGAGGCGGGACACGCCAAACGCGTGGCACTCGGAAGGCGGCAGCCTAACAATTACTCTTATAGGTGCGACGACAAATCAACACAAGCATACACGCACGACAAACGCATGCACCAAAAGTGAATCAAGGATCGATCAACCTATCGCGAAGAGGGCGTCAAATTCCAGAGGAACGACACAATGACTGAATTCAAATGAAACAACCACGAACAGGTGGCAGCCCTCCAGTATGAGCCAAAGCAGCGGAAGTTCAGCACAGTCGATCGTCGGACCTATCATCCCTGAGATCAGCACAGAGCATCCCGTCCACCACCGTCCCAGCAAAGAGAACAGCCAAACGCTCAAGGGCGTTCCCATACGTGGGTCTCGCACATGTAGGCAAGGCGTACAAACACTCAAGACGATATCAGATATCCCCATCACAAACAAGACAACGTGACGACGACGTGAAAATGGAACTCTGTCATCGCATGGGGCCCTGTGCAAATGTGAATGCTGAAAAGGAGCAAGCCACAGTACGAATATGCCCAGGAATCAATACGAAGCGAAACCACAAACAACGCCCGATCGAAGACAGCACTCCTAACGAAACCCCACCACGTTGTGGGGTCGCACGTCCAGCATCACACCCCAGATGAGAGTCCAGAAGAGCATAGAAGGCATCCATGACCTCCACCACGTCAGTAGCGATGTCCGACTGTTCATCAAACGAGGCGATGTACGACAGCACATCGCCAAGCATGTCAAGAGTGGCGCGAACGGCACCCTCCACATAAAGACGGCCGAATGTCACAACCAACCAGTCGCGACGCTCTCACCCAGACAGTGGAAGCTTCCGATACTCGGCAATAGAACCAGGAATGTCGATGTGGGTGGTCAGGGGTCCGTGCAGAAGTGGCGTTGTGCGATCTGACTGATTGTTATCTTTGTGCTGCAGGGCCTCGGAAAATGTCAACGTGGGGACGCCTTCTCCAACCTCGCATGAGCCATAGCTCTCTGGATCATGAGACCCATGAGAAGAAACAGGATAAGCAGAATGGCGGGAAGATGATGACGGCGATGCCCCTGAATTGTCCCCGACCGCTGCATGCAATGACCACGACAACTCGAAAGCGCAATCGTTCAACTCGTTTCCCGACTCACCGATGTCTGGCTCCCCAAGGACAGCATCCTGCCCCAAGGACAGCATCCGAACACCGGGGAACTCGTAGAGCTTCTGTCCGAGCACAGACGCCGCTATTGTCCGAGCACAGGCGCCTCTATTAACATGTGCATCAGCGATCGCAATGATGTCCCGTTCAAAACATAGTCAAAAGGCCGATAGATCAAGTGCATAAACCGAACACGTGCCAAAAAAGTCGCAGAATGCGACTAAATCTTCGGTCACGGCTCGGATAACAAACCGAACTCAGGCCTCTCGAGGCTCCGGATCAATGCTCTCGATGCTGCTGTGAATCGACTCGAATGAACCAGGGCTCTGTAGCTGCTCTGGATCTCGAGATCAAATCACTCAACCAAATGCGCACTAAACACATCTGCAGCGTGTGAGTAATTGCTTAGTCATGGTAGCAGACTGATCTTAGGCTTCTCGAGCTCAAGACAAATGCTCGAGTGATACGTGCTGCTAAATCGATGCCTTAATGAGAGCCCCGTAGCTGTTTTAAATATCGAGATTGAGTGTGTTAAAAACAGCTATAGAATGCAAATAGCTGCTCTGCAATAGCTCGAGACCTCAGGATTCTCGAGGTTCTAGGCTGATGCTTTCGGTACTATTGAAGTTATTGAACTGAATGGAAGCTGTGCAGCTGCTCTAAATCTCGACATTAAGTTCACCAACGAAAATCTGCCACAAAGAATTACAGAGTGACGATTCTCGAGTCATAGATCGTGTAGCAGCCGATCTTCCGACAGAGTCGGGCAACGAGCTCCACCCTGAACCCGAATTCCTCTTAGGACACTTGTGCAGCCCACTTGCGCAGTCAACTTACGAGTCCGAAACACGGATGGCAGGGCGCTGGAAGCGCGTGCCGGAAGGATCTGGAGAGAGCTTCCGAAGGACCTGGAGAGCTTCAGGGCACACGCATTCGGAGACTGAGCAACCAACGCGTTTCGTCAGGGCGTCCACAGCTGCATCAGCTGAGCCCTGGACCACATATTGAAAAGATCGGGCAAGGAGAGACCTGCCGAACGGAGACACAGCAGAGCGAGAGCACAGCCACTGACAGCTGCCAAGCCCGAAGAGCTCAGGCATCACAGAATCAAAAGTTGCCGAGCCAAATTGGCGTAGGCATCACAGGAAAGGGACAGCGCATGTGAACACACAACGCCAAACAAATAACAAGCCGAAGCTAAATATTGACTGCTCTGACTGCCCAGCCAGGGCAACTTGAATAACAGAGAAAAGAACGAAAAGCGTACAGTGAAGCACCCGAGAAGCGAAACTCTGATTACCGAGACAGGGTGACTCAGGCATCATACGGAAAAAACAATCGGCAACCACGTTCAAGATCGAGTCAATCTGGGCACGGGAAGTGAACACACAGGTAAATGTCCAAAAAGATGGAGGCTCCTCAGACAAAGACAGACGCAAAGCGAGTACACAACCAAAGAGAGGTGCCGAGCTCAAAAGGCTTAGGCATATATTATAAGTTTCCAAACAAAGCACGCAGGCATCAAGACATAACAGGAATGAAAGCGCACAGGAATGCAACAGCGCCAATGATGGTACAGACGTGGCAAAACAACACGACGCCGCGCGAGAACTAAGACGTAATGATAAAGCCAAAGCATCGAAAAAAGGAACAGGCGAAAGCACAGAGTAGGACACGGAAGAATGAAAGCACTGATTGTCATGTCAGAACTGCCCATAAATATGAAAGAACAAAGGAAAAGCACACAGTCAAGCACATGGTAAGAAAAGCTCCGGTTGCCGCAAGATGGCTTAGGCATCATGAAAAAAAGGGAGATGAAAGAAAAAACAATTGGCAATCACGGCTGAACTCAAATCGAACTCGGCGCGCGCGAAAAAATGAGAAGGGCTAGAAATGAAGTACAGTTCTGTGCTCACAACAGGAAGCCCGCGGTAAACCGTCAACCCTGGTTTTGCGGTCTTCACGGTCGACTGCGCGGGCCGTCTGGCCCAGACGCAAGCAAGAAACGGGCAACATACAGAGTGAGCCAAGCCGCCCACCACAACGAGTGCGAAGCGGGGAGAACGAGGCTCATATTCAGAACAAGTGACAGCCAGGCGATTCTCTTATTCCAACACATGTGCATGCACGACAAAAGACACACAAGCATGAAGAGAAAACGCAATCACAAAGAACAACAGTTCAAACTCGAAGCACGTGGAAAGAACAAGTGCGTGGAAGGGACCCGTGGAAGAACATCGATGAAATGTTCAATCGCCGACATCTCGGCATCAGTTACTGTAGCATACACCTCCGTCCACACAATATCTCCGGAGCCCCGCTCACGAGAGACTCGCGAGACACGACCGACATCAGCCCAGCAACCGACTCCGACACCAGCCGTCGACGCACCACCATCGAAGCCACAATCGATGGCACAATACCTATAAACACTAGAAACATCATTGGGCTCCTGCCCTATACGATCCTGGAATACGTCGTTGCCCGAGCGGGCAGTATGAGTAAGCACGTCCGCCCTTGCATTCCACTATCTGAAGCAATGTTCGATCATATCACGTCCAGGAGCAAAGGAGCGAGTGCGGAACAGAAAGCACATTCCCTCCAGGCGGTTAATAATCCTGTCAACCCTACGTTGGAAATCCCTGTTAATCACCTGCCAGTACCCCTGAGTCCACGAAACAACCAAGAGACTATCACCATGAATACTTATCGGGACCCCAAAGGATTCCAGATTCCACTCCACACCCTCCCATTTGGACACATGCACAGCCAAACGCTTAGCAAGGCGATCCTCAGCAAGCTGAGAACCTTCCGTGACCTGAAAGTATCTGCATTCCTGCTGGGTTTGGATGTGGGCCTCACCTACAGCCCGAGGATGACCAAGACCTTTAGCTCGACTCTGGAAGCAATCGAGCATCGCACGAGAGCAAGCATGCGAGGCGAACTGCTCGAAGCCCCCTGGTGTCGCACGAAAGCCCCCCCACCATTTGGGCCCGAAGAACTCCGAAAACGTGTAGGACCAACGCCGTTGACCGATGGCAAACCCCCCACCCCGCTGACGCTTCATTTTCCTGGACTCGCGAAAGCAGAAGCTCATGCGCAGAAAACCAGACGCATCCGCACGAATACGATCCCACATCACACCATAAGCACACAGACAAGCACGCACACCACGCCACGGTCGAGCAGCATTCCTCCACTCATCATAGATCTCCGCATCAACGACGCGAATGAACTCGCACATATCTTTGGCCAGGTTCCAGGAAACACGAAGGAAACCTCTGCACCAGAGACGCAAACCCCATTCCTTGAAACTTCCTCCTCGCTTCCGCACATTTCCGCCGACTCCATGAAGAAACATCATCGTCGTGTATATTAGGACAAATGAACATCTTACAGAAACACAAGCCTTCGAAGGAGTGCATACGCTGGAGCGAATGATTGTCGAGCGTCATCCCTTCAATCCCATGCATGGCAATCCCCTGCACCTTCTCCTGATACCTCCAAAGCTTATCTCGTATACTTACAGCAGCGCAACGGAAATAGTTTGCCATGCCGAAGAAACTTTCACGTGCCATGGACAAACGATAATCAACATAGGGATGGGTAGGCGTGTGAAAACTCCGAATGGATCTCGACACCGAGCACATTCATTGAAGAAACTCTGCGGAAACGTGACACCTCAGGCATCTCGGACATGATACTTTGCCTCCGAGCGGTCAACAATGTTGTACTTATATCGATTAACAAATCTTCAGCTGCAAGAATCACACCGTCTCCGTCACAACGCGGTGCTACACTCAAGGACATGAGCAACAATGATGACATCTTCCACGCCATACCGGAGAAAACGAGTGGTAACGTTAGATCGTGAATCATGGCCGCGAGATCGTGAGCAGAGCCGGCTACAAGATAGGCGTTGACCGCCCACAGAAAGTGACTGAAGAGCAACTCCTTTTGCGCAGGCCCGAACACACCCGCCACTTTGTGGTCCAATCCCTTCACATCCCACGATCGGAAAAACATCAGCCCACATCGCCACGATAATGAGGTTGAACACCAGAGGCCCCTCAGGCCCACCCGTACGTATACACCTATCCCAGTGGAGTCCAGGAATTTCCATCCCCTCAACACTCATCGCTCCTATCGTACCACATAACAGAGCCAGGAGAGCATATTGAAGGTGAAAAAGTACATCTGCACATTGGAGTCCCTTCCTCACGTGGGCTAAACTACAATGATCGAACGCCTGCTTAATATCCGCATTCACGATATAGATACTCTCACTCTTACCCCCAGTATCCCCACGTTGTGCCAGAGATTTTAGACACCTTGTTATCTCCCAAGTCTTTGCGGCCCTCCTGGAACCCGTAGACTCCCGAGCACTGGGAGATTCCAGAGCGCTCAACAAAACTCTCAGCAAGGGCGACCACACATGCCGAATACCAGGGGGAAGTCGCATTCTGCATCACGAGGCAACGTCCCTCAGACAACGTCATCAGACAAGGAACCTTGGACATAAACGAAATCAAGACCTCTCCCTCCACCCATCAGGGTAGCTCTGAGAACACGTGAAGATCCTATCGAAGAGCAACTGGATAGAACGAAGAGCCGACCAAGGGAGAGCACGCAGTATTTCAGTTGGCGCACGATCGGGTCCAGTCGCCCGCAACGTCTTCAGGCGGCTTCGCGCCCTGCAAAGAACAGCCATGCTGATGTACTTCGTACAACGTCCGTCCTTGAAATTGGGCACAGCCTCCTTCCTAAGCTCCTCGAACATCTTGACGCTCTCCTCCCGGACCCCCTTCCGACGAAAACTTGGCAATAGAGAACTCAATCTCACGCCTCCACTCCTCCCTATCCTCCATCACCATCCCGTCTGCCGCAAGGTGCTTGATGCGGCGGCGCACCGTGCGCTTAGAAATGGGACTGCCACACTCCGCCAGCGCACGACGGTAAGCCGTGCGATACCGATTGCGAGCAACTCGGAGCTCTCTGCGCTCCTCGCCAGACAAGGCTGGCACTGCACGACGTAGCTTCTCTATGCCGCGCTGCAGCTCGGGTGGACGGACAGGCGACAGGCCGCGACCCAGCTTAGCCGTCGTGAAGTTCACGTTCTCATCATTCGTGAAAGCACTTAAGAATTTACCATATGTCCCCAGGAAAGCATGATGCAACCGCATCCCCAAGAAACCCATCTATACGTGCCCGAGCCATATTCTCATCCTCCCATGTTATACACTTGAACCCAACAAGAGAACGTTCACGAGCGGCAATCCTATTAAAAATAACGATGAGTCTCCGCCTGGTTTGGAAGAAGCACACTGCACCAACGCATGGTCACTCAATCTGGAGCGGTTGGTGGAACCCCATTGTGGCAGATGTTTTTGACCAGGAGCTCAGTAGTATCCCAATCCCTCGGAATCAAAATATAGTCCAGAACCTCTTTGGAAGTCCCCATCTCGTAGCCCCGCACGCTTCCCAGGTACGGAGCCTCATCTTGAAATGCGTCCGCCGCCTTCAACCTCAGGCGGGCGAGACGTCCTATGAAGTTATTTCGTAAGTCGTCCTCTGCAATCCCTTCGTTCCCGTTGAGCTCCTCCTTCATTCACAATCCTCTTCACCTCTTTCGTAGCTCCACCGACCGCCTCAAACTCCTCCCCCGTACGTGCACACGTGACACGAGCACGCGGTGGCAACTCCACGTTGGCATCTGCAAGAAAGACAAAGCTGGCCTTGCACCATCTGCCTCTCGCAGACCGCACTACACTCCCCAGCTACTCTCACACTGAGCTCTGGACATCCACAATTCTGAACACCTGAATCAGGTAAGTACATGCTGAAGACAAACAGTGGAGATTTGCCACTGCCAAACACCACGCCGCAGAAACGATCAAACTCACAAATTCAATGTCGGATAGACGAGGCCCACTCATCGCTAAAAATAAAAAGCACATTTTGAACATCTGCTGGATCTGGTTCCCAGACGTAGTCAGGTAAAAGCTGCATCCCCAACAAGAATACGTCTCCTGCAAGCCGAAGAGCGATCCCCCTATCTTCAAAGCCCTAAGGATCTCCTTATCACGAAAGTTAGTAGTACCAGCTCTATTCGGATTCCAAGTCCCCACCTGGAGACCTGCAAAAGAACTGGACTTGTGTGCCTGTCGTCAAGCACCCCCTGCACGGCGCGAGCCGCGGTCTACGTCGTGCTCTTTCATCGCGGGAAAGCGTACGCTGCGAGGCACAGAGCGGCTTTCTTCGGGGCCACGAGCTCGGTGGAGAGCTGGGCGCGCGCGGCATCTCGCATAGTTTCGCATCGCCGCGCGGCGCGGCACGCGCGAGCGTCGCGCGCGGCAGGCGCATTCCTCGCGGCGGTGCTGCGACGCGTGGTCTTCTTGCCTGCACTCCAGTACGTCGACGATTTCTTCAGCGCCGACGAGGGCGACGGCGTCGGCGACGCTGCCGCAGCCGCTGCCGAGCTGATTCGCATTCTTCTCGGCGACGACGCCATCCAGGCACGTAAGCTGGAATGGGGCTCGCCACTCGTTCTGCTCGGCGTCGAAGTTCAGGCCGCGCGCGCCGCATCGCCTCTGGCTCGCAGCGCCCATGACGCGCAATGCGCAGGCCACGAGGCAGGATTTCTGGGCGGTGCCGGCGCCGCAGAAAGTCGAGCTGTGGTCCAGCATGATTCGCGGCCACTTGACCGCGGACAAATTGTCGCCAGGCGCACGCCGATCTCGCAGCGCGCATCACGGCCGCGCCGCGCGCGGGAGGCGATGCAAGCAAGCTCGCCGGGCGTTTGTCGCGGGGCTGCGCATACATGTTCAATAAACTGGTGAGAGCCCTGCTACGGCGCGACGCCGCCCCGGGCGTCGCGGTCACGCGCCGGCCCGATTTCGCGCTCATCGTCGCAGGCCGCTGTTCGCGCGTGCCCACATTCGCGCATACAGGCTCAACGAGCCACTCCGGTTGGCTCTGCGGCGGCGGCTGGACGCGCTCGAGCGAGACCTATCTCAAGCGCGCCGCTGGGACCAGGCGCGGCGCCCAGCGGGGTCGGTCGCACGCGGCCGCGCGCTCGGCGCCGCCAGGCCGAGCGGTCCTCTGCCGCGTTTTTCGCCGAGCGGGCCGCACACAAGCCGCTGCGTGACCGATGAAGAAAAAGCGTGGTTCTCAGCCAGGGGGGATCAGCAGATCGCCGGATTGGAACTCTTGGCCATTGCGCTCGCGTTCTCAACGTGGGAAGGCGCACGCAGCCGCGAACCGAGGCACGCGCGCGTTCGCGCGGCTCTCCACCGCGCGCAGGCTTGCTCCGGGACCGCGCCATCGCAGCGTTGAGCGACAATGTAGTCGCCGAGGGTTCGCTCCGCAAGGGCAGCGCGAAGGCCTGGGATCACACGCGCATCGTGCACGCGCTCTGGCTACGGGCGGCCGTCCTGCGCGCGGCGCTGTGGATCTACCGCGTCGACACGAAGCGCAATCCAGCCGACGCACCCTCGCGCGGCGATTTCGCGCTGATGCGACGCCTCGTGGGCCGCCCTGCGGCTTCCCAAGAAACACGCGCGATGGCGGCCCGCGGCCAGCGTCCTCGCGGCACGGCCGCGCCCGCCCCGGCGTTCCGGGATGGGGCAGCAAGCCGCGCGTTTCCCGGCGTTCTGGGGGGAGGGTCGCAGCGCGCGCAAAGGAGGCCCGCGGCAACGAAGATGTCCGACCGCGAACGCACTGTACTCGTTTCAAGGATTCGGCGGCTGCTCAACGATGTTGCGCCGCTTCAGTGAAACAATTCCGTTGCGTCGGAGATAGAGGCAGCTTACGTCTTGCCGGCACTGCGCGTTATCGACACTGCGCGCGCGCCGCCCCACGCGAGCGGCGCGCGCATGAAGACTTGGACGGCTTCGCAGACCTCGCTCCGCTCGCGGCGGACGCGATTCGCGCGCTGCCAGCGCGGGTCGCGGCCGACATGCAATTTCCATCGCGCGGCGGCGCGCCGCGGCTGTCGTCCGAGTTGGCATCCTTGGCACTTCGCGAGCCGCACGCGTTCACGGCGCCGTCGACGCCGCCGGCCATCGTGCGCGAGGAGGCGGCAACCGCGCCGCTCCGTCGCGCGCGACGCGTTGGCGCCCCGGTGCGCCTGCCAAAAGTGTCGCAGAGCTCACCAGATTTCAACTCTGAGAGTGCCGATTCCTCTGACTCGAGCAGCCCGAGCGAGAGGTCCGTGAGCTGCTCGCCGGCGCGTCGCGAGCGCGTGCCAGCCTGGCCGGTCTGCCGCCTTGGTTTCGCCCCAATAGGGCTCAGGGTTCGCGAGCGAGCGCGGCTGCGCACGTAATGTCGCGAGTGTCTTCAGCGCGCAACGTGGTACAGGCGCCA